ACCTGCTGGGCTCAGGTGATCCTTCCACCTCAGCCTTCCAAGTAGCTGAAACTACAGGCATGTGCCACCATGCCCAGCTAATTTTTTTGTTATTGTAGAGAGGAGGTCTCGCCAAATTGTCCGGGCTGGTCTCGAACCCCTGGGCTCAGGTAATCCTCTTGCCTCTGCCTGCCAAAGTGCTGGGATTACAGGCTTGAGCCACCACACCTGGCCCATATTCTTCCTTTTTATCTCCATATCCTCTTTGAAATGTCTCATATCTTTTGTACATTTTTGGGGGGTCATAGGCTCACTCTGTTGTCCAGACTAGAGTGCAGTGGCACTCATGGCCACCACAGCCTTGATCTGCTGGGCTTAGGCAATCCTTCTGCTTCAGCCTTCCAAGCAGCTGGGACTACAGGCACATGTCTGGCTAATTTTTTGATTTATTGTAGAGATAAAGTCTCGCCAGGTTGCCCAGGCTGGTGTCGAACCCCTGACCTCAAGCAATCCTCTTTTGTGTATTTTCTAAATGAATTATTAATATTTATTTTATTGGTGTTGAGTTGTAAATGTTTTTAATATATTTTATTTACGAGCTCTTTACTGAATAAGTAGTTTGCAAATTTTTTCCTTTTTAACAGTCTGTAGTTTGCCTTTTAACCCTCTTCACATGGGCTTTCACAAAGCAAATTTTGATAGAGTCAATACTGTTCCATAGACAACCCTAATGCAAGATGTTAATAAAAACTGTTGGGGCGGGGTGGGGGCTGGGAGGGAATGGAGCTTTAAGCAAACTCTACATCAAGAATGGAAGTCGTCTTTTACACTTCCGGAAAATTTCATCATAACTCATCATCATTCTTCAGGCCCAAATCTAGGAGCATTTTCTTTCTTTCTTTAAACCACATGTCCATTCATCATTCTTCAGGCCCAAATCTAGGAGCATTTTCTTTCTTTCTTTAAACCACACGTAACTACGTAACCTTGAGGACAGGGATAATAGATTATTCATTTTTGTGTCTCCAACAGTTAACTCAGTGAATGTCTTATAGTGAAACCTAAAGCTGTATGAGGATAAACAATAACTTTCTTTAAAAACGTGGAGGTTTTAGTCATGTGCTGCATATGGACAATTTGGTCAATGACAGACCCCATATACATATACAGTGGTGGTCCCATTAGATTATAATACTGTATTTTTACTGTACCTTTTTCCTTTTGTGTGTCTACATTTTTCAAATAAATTGTGATCTCATTCGCTTTTTTATTTATGTATTTTTATTGATATATAATAGATGTATATATTTTCCTCAAATACATGTGGATAATTTGATGCATTCATAAAATGGGTAGTTTACTGTACTATTTCCATGTTTAGATATACTTAGATACACACATACTTACCATTGTGTTATAGTTGCCTACAGTATTTCCGTACACTAATATGCTGCACAGGTTTATAGCCTAGGAGAAAAACCTGCTACACAGGTGTGTAGCCTAGGAGACATACCATTAGCCTAGGTGTGTAGTGAGCTATACCATCTAGATTTGTGTAAATATATGCTATGATGTTTACACAATGACAAAAATCACTTAACAGTGCATTTCTCAGAATGTATCCCCAGCATTAAGTGATGCATGTTAGAATATAACCCTACGTTATTATGTAGTTTCCAAAAACATCTAAGGTTACTTTACAGTGAATTAACAGAAGTACATTGTTTGGAGAAAGGCAGGTACTAGTTCTTCCAGTCAGATCACTTCTGGAATGTTGTATTTGGCTCCAGGTATCACATATTAAGATGTCTTCATCTTAATTGCTGTGGTTCAGGTTAAGATAGTTTTTAGAAAAGGGAAACCAGGATGGTAAAAGGATAGACCTATGCCTAGTGAGGAACCATTACAGAAACCAAGAATCTTTACCTTGAATACAGAAGAGTCATGAAAGCCCTCCCCAAATAGCTAAAGATCAGCACACAAGAAAGGAGGTTATGCTTATTCTTGTCAGTTATAAAGGAAAGAATCAATGGTAGGAGGTTTAGAAAGCAAGCTCTTAGTTCAGCATAAAGAAGAATTGCTTAACGGTTTTTCCAAACCAATGTTCTGCAAAACACTATACAGTACTATGTTAGGTTAAACAAAGTCTCTTAACTGCAGGATATATCAGTCTTTAATATATGAACGTTAAGAAGAAATGAAGCCGGGCTCGGTGGCTCAGCCTGTAATCCCGAGCTTTGGGAGGCTGAGGTGAATGGATTTCCTGAGCCTGTGGGTTTGAGACCCACCTGGGCAACTTGGCGAGCCCTCATCTCTACAATAAATCTAAAATCAGCTGAGCGTGGTAGCGCGCACCTGTAGTTCCAGCTACTTGGAAGGCTGAGGCAGAAGGATCACTGGAGCCCAGCAGGTCAAGGCTGCGGTGGCCAGGAGCGTCCACTGCACTCCAGTCTGGGCGACAGAGTGAGACTCCAACTCAAAAAAAATAAAAGAAGAAATGATATTATACAGCCATAAAGAAGGACAAACATATTGACTTCGCAGCAACTTGGATGGACTTCGAGTCTATAATATTGAGCGATATATATAAAAGAAGAAATGTACTTTTCCTCATTTTCCAAACGTATTTGTCCATAGACACTTTTATTTAAAGAACAGTGTTAACATCTCTTGAAACAGTATTCATAGAAGAATTTGAGTTAAGGTCACTTGAAAATGAACAGGCTATCTTCTAAAAAAGTAGTCAGGTTCACAGGTTTTCATACTTGGGAAAACTGGTTGTTGTTGCTGTCACTTCTGTGCTTCTGAAATGTTGGTCATTCAAACTGAAGTATAAGCCGGGCTCGGTGTCTCAGCCTGTAATCCTGCGCCTTTGGGAGGCTGAGGTGAGTGGATTGCCTGAGCCCGCGGGTTCGAGACCAGCCTGGGCAGCGAGACCTCATCTCTACAATAAATCAAAAAATCAGCCGGGCGTGGTAGCGCATGCCTGTAATTCTGGCTACTTGGAAGGCTCAGGCGGAAGGATCACTGGAGCCCAGCAGGTCGAGGCTGCGGTGGCCGGGAGTGGCCACTGCACTCGAGTCTGGGCGACAGAGTGAGACTCCAACTCAAAACAAAAACAAAAAACTAAAGTATATAAAGCTTGAGCAACTGGAGCACCTTCATCTTACCTGTTCCTTTAACAATGTGAGACCCAACACTGTTCTAGATGAGAAGGACATTTTCCCCTAGCAACACACTCTCCAGTTACAGTATTCTTATGTCTGTCCTCTGATTTATTTCTTGTGTGCAAGGCAGTTTTTCCGAATTTTTTTCATTAACACAAACGCAAATAAAACCCTCATGCTCTACCCCCCCCAGATTTTGATAGGATCCTCATATGGAACTATGCTCCTCTAATAAGCATTTCCGCTTTAGAACTACAAACCTAGAGTATTAATATAAGCTTTTTTTTTTTTTTTTTTTAGTAAAAATAGAATTTCAAAAGACTTAAAGGAAGAAATGGTGTTTTAAAATTATGGCAAAAGGTAAATCAGAAAAAAATATCAAATCAGAACCATTGCCTTGAGGTTAAATGGGATAATTTAAAAAGTAAGTCAGACTTCATATCAGCCAGGGATGGTGGCGCATGACTGTGGTTCCAGCTACTTGGAAGGCTGAGGCGGAAGGAGCACCTGAGCCCAGCTGCTTTGGTGGCCTTGATGTGCCACTGTATTCCAGTCTGGGTGACCAAGTGAGACTCTGACTAAAAAAAACAAAAAAAAGAAAAAAGTAAACAACCAGTTCAGCAACACTGATAAGGTGAGGTTGCAAGATTGTAATTGCTGCCTGTCTATATAGCCCTCCACAGACGGCATAATGCAGGGTTGAAACATCGTAATTCCTAAGAGGAAGAATGTGCACCATGAAAGAGTAAATGGTTCATCAGAATTTCTACAACTGATACCTGTTCTTGTTCTCCAGAACCATGTTTACTAAATATTTATTCTCTAGTCTGGTTTCCAGGACCTACCAGTACTGAAAAAGGGATATTTGAATGAGTAGATAAAATACTGTAATATTCAGAAAGATATATCTTCTCCTGCATGTTAATAAAATGGCATTCACTCTCCTACCATCTATATTGAAAAATTTACTAAGGTCTTTTCGCATCTGGATAGCTGACAAGTCAGTCCCTGGTTGAATCAGATCATACCATACATACCCATCCTTCAGGTCCTTGTGAATAGCTTATATTAAAAAACAACAACAACAACAACCTTAAAATACTATTTCTTTGTTATTCTGTAACTTTGCTAATAAATCAGCACCTCAGGAAGTAGAATGATCAGTTCTAAATGGTAAGTACCTGTATAGGAACTACCACATAACTTTACATACCCACAGAGATTGATCTCAATGATACATTTGTGTTTTCATGGCCATTTGGAAACTCCAGGCCAACTTCAGCAACACTGCACAAGATTTATTGAGTTTACTGATAGACAGGAAGACATGGAATCTCGGGGGCTTTGTTTAATGATGTACTGGAAAACCCATTTCTAAAACGGCCTCTATCAGGAAAGAAAGGTGAAGAAAGCGTAGAAATAATGCTATCTATCTCTCTTTTGCCTAACCCAGTAGAAGAAAAAAAAATGCATGAAGGTGACGGCTTATACCGAAGTCAGGGATTGGGGATAAGAGTCCAGGGAATCATCAGAGCCTCGTCTTCCTGGTCTCCAGGTTGATTGTGTTCCCTTGGATGTGAGGAGTCTGCTTGTATGCTGGACCCTTCAAATCATCTGGCTTTACAGGCACATAGTAGTAGCCCATGATGGAGAAGATCAGGCAGACCACCAGCAGGAGGCAGGAAAACAAAACGAACTCAGCCCACTGCAGAGAGAAACAAATATAAAAGAATATGTAGAAATCTGAAACTAAAGGGATCTTCGCAGGATGAGGACTGGGGAGCAGATTGCCTGGGATCACCAGTTTAGGCGGACATTTGCTGGAAGAAGACTGGGCTCACGGGCCTCTCCTCACATAGGTTATGGTAGTCATTACTGCCACTTATATATGTCTATTTTCTTGGCAGAGTGTGTATCTAACCCATCTCATGTCACAGCACTGAGTAGGGAAATGGAAGGCAGACAGATGGGGGGAAAGGAAGAAAAGAAAGATGGAGGGAAAACTTTGGGCAGATGTGAACTCCCGCTTCCCTCAGCACCATACCTGTACCAGGCTACTGAACTGCGCCACAACAAGCACGATGATATTCCCAACTGCAACTGTCAACAACCAAGCTGCCTGGAGTACAGATTTCATGCTAGAGGGAGCCTACGAAGGACACAAGTCGGAAAGTAAACAAACTCCTTACCACCCTCATGCCCCGTGCATTTATCCAGGAAACTTCTTCCATATTTCTCCCAAACTTCTTCCCAGATTTGAACTTCCCTCACTAAGTTGAGCTGTCACATTGATTCAGAGGGTAGCAATAATGTGAACAATAAGAATAAAATGGAGTTCTTCACTGAATATTTTGATTCATTATAGCATATAATCTTTTTTTTTTTTTTGAGTTGGAATCTCACTCTGTCGCCCAGACTGGAGTGCAGTGGCCGCTCCCAGCCACCGCAGCCTCGACCTGCTGGGCTCCAGGGATCCTTCCGCCTCAGCCTTCCAAGTAGCTGGAACTATAGGTGCATGCTACCACACCCGGCTAATTTTTTTTATTTATTGTAGAGATGAGGTCTCGCCAAGTTGCCCAGGCAGGTCTCAAACCCGCGGGCTTAGGCAATTCACTCACCTCAGCCTCCCAAGGCGCGGATTACAGGCTGAGCCACCAAGCCCAGCTAGCGTATAATCTTCATTACAACTCTAAGGGTTAAGTTCTACTAGCAATCTTATTTTAGGCATAAAGAAAAATAGCATTACAGAGATGATAACTCACTTGCTCAAGGCCACACAATAGGTCATGTAGCCAAAATTTGAACATGGGTAGTCTGATTACCCAACCTTAATTTTTTTTTTTTTTTTTTTTGAGTTGGAGTCTCACTCTGTCACCCAGACTGGAGTGCAGTGGCAGCTCTCGGCCACCGCAGCCTCGACCTGCTGGGCTCCGGCGATCCTTCTGCCTCAGCCTTCCAAGCAGCCGGAATTACAGGCATGCGCTACCACGCCCAGCTGTTTTTTTAATTTATCATAGAGATGAGGCCTCACTGCTCAGGCAGGTCTCGAACCCGCGGGCTCAGGCAATCCTCTCACCTCAGCCTCCCAAAGGCACGGGATTACAGGCTGAGCCACCGAGCCCGGCTCCAACCCTAATTGTAATTTTTAATTTTCTGAGTCAGGGTCTCACTCCGTTGCCCATGCTGGAATGCAGTGGCATGATCATGGCTCACCACAGTCTCCAACTCATGGGCTAAAGTGATCTTTCCACCTCAGCCTCTCAGCTGGGATTACAGGTGCACACCATCATGCCTGGCTAATCTTTCTATTTTTTTGTAGAGAAGGAGCCTTACTTTGTTGCCCAGGCTGGTCTCCAACTCCTGGCCTCAAGCAATCCTCCCTCCTGGGCCTCCCAAAGTGCTGGGATTACAGGTGTGAGCCACCATAACCCAGCCAATGTTGATTTTTAAGTCTTATTTTCTAGAGCCCCAAAGCATAGACTCCTATGCTACACTGTCATAATCTGGGGAGTCAAGATGTTCAGGTTACATACGTTCAGGACCATATATAAGGAACCCAAGGCCAAAAGAGGTAAAGGTCTTGTTTGGGATCACATGCCTATTTAAGCAAGTACTGGAATTGACATTCATCATCCTTCAAGCAACGTCTCCATTTATACTTTCTATCTGCAAAAACTTACCTGAGAATAAGAAAACTCAAGTCCTGTGACAGAGAACATGACCTCCCCAGCTGTAACCAGGGCATACTGTGGTAGCTGCCATGCAATGGATATTTTGTTTGCTGAAATATCTTCCATCTTCCAGGCCTGAAGACCATGATCGGTGTTCTTAGTGTGAGAAAGTGAAAATGGACTTGTTACTAGCCTCAAGTAAATATTTCTAACTATAGCATCCTATGATCTTATCTCCATCTCCTCTTTGTATTTTCATTCTTCTGCTGCCTTCAAGAAATTGAGCCTTTCTACACAATTCCAGAGTTTTGGAAATTTCTTTTGGTCAGACTGCACTCACTCTCCTGGCTTCCATCAGATATCATTATTGACAGAGACCTTTAATGGCAGGACTTTTTGATATTACAGTTTGGATTTTCACCATTTCGGCCTATGTGCATTTTAATCCTGGACATTTTAAACATAAAATGGCATCTAATTATACATGTCTACTAATATATTTTATTATAAATGGAATAACATTTAAAAATAATATGGGATAAAAATAGCGGAGTTAAAATATCAAGGCAAAATGTCCTTGACACCAAAAGTCTTTGACATCTAAATGCTCTTGATTTTCTGAGTCAAAAGGCCATTAGGTTCAAAATAGTAAAGTAAGAGTCCTATTTTGCTTTAATTGATAGTATAAACAATACCCAGGCATCTGTTTGTATTTACTCAGCGTAAGAGAAGACCGTGATCAGATCGTGGCTAAATCAAGGTTAGATACTTAAATGCCCATAGGCAGGTAATTAAGCAAATAAAACAAACAATGAAAATGATGGGGAAAATGAATAGCACAGGTCCCATCTAAAGGGCATAGCTACTATAACACTGGCCAGTTAACACAATAATACCTGTTATGAAGTCTTCTGGCTTTCAATTTTCCAAGAAATATTAGTAATCCAACTCAGGTGAAATCTCTTGAATCTTAAACATTGGCAAGTAATTCTTTTATGGTTTTTATCAACACTGTACAACCAAGAAAGACGGTACTATGGAAGAAGCTGGGCCCCCAGACTCTCAATATATGACCTCACTATAAATGCTTATTAGATCCTGACATTCAGAGACAATATATATGGCCTGTATCTTGAGTAGCATACAAGACAGAACAAACAAAACAAAAATGGAATAATACCAGAAATGAAAGTGTCATGGATTGAATTGTATCCCAAATTCATATGTTAAAGTCTTAACACCCAGTACTTTAGAATGAGACTTTATCTGAAAATAGTGTTGTTGTATATGTAATTAGTCAAGTTGAAATAATAAGATAATGTAGCCAGGCCCGGTGGCTCACACCTGCAATCCCAACACTTGGGGGGGCAGAGATAAGAGGATTGCCTGAGCCAAGGAGTTTGAGACCAACCTGGGCAACTTCGCAAGACCTCATCTCTACAATAAATAAAAAAATTAGGGGTGGTGACTCGCACCTCTAGTTCCAGTTATTTGGAAGGCTGAGGCGGAAGGATTGCCTGAATCCAGCAAGTGGAGGCTGTGATAGCCGTGAGCATGCCATTACACTCTAGCCTGGGTCACAGTGAGACTTTGACTCAAAAAGAAAAAAAAGAAAAAGATAACTTAGAGTGACCCTAATCCAGTATGACAAGTATCCTTATAGAGAAAGGGGGAAATTTGGATACACAGAGAGACACATAGGAAAAACATCATGTAACAATTAAAGCAGACATTAGGGTGGTTCTTTTATACACCAAGGAATTTAAAATATTTCTAGCAAGCTACCAGAAGGTATGAGAGAGTCATGGAACAGATTATTCCTCACAGCCCTCAGGAATCAACACTACTAACACCATGAACTCAGACTTCTCCATAATTGTTTGGGTTTTTTTGTTCCCCTTCTTCTCCATAATTGTGAGACAATAAATTGTTGTGTAAGCCACTTAGCTTGTGGTACTTTGTTATAGCAATCCTAGGAAATTAATAGAGTTAAGTTGGCTTAATATGTGAAGCTAAATGTAATATATCATATCAGTAGAATAAAAGACAAAACCATGTTATCTCAATAAATGCAGAAAAAGCATTTGATAAAACTCAACCCCTGTTCATGATAAAACAAACAAACAAACAAAATAATACTCAACAAACTAGGAATAGAAGGGAGATTCCTCAGTCTGATAAAGAGTACCTAGAAAAGCCCACAGTTAACCTACTTATGATAAAGGACTAAATACTCTCTCCCTAAAAGGATGTCTGCTTTCGCCACTTCTATTCAGCATTATACTACAGGTTCAAGCCAGAGCAATTAGGTAAAGAAAAGAAATAAAGGCATCCGTGTTGAGAAGGAAGAAGTAAAGCTATCTCTACTTGCTATCTCTACATGATCTTGTATGTAAAAAGTCTAAGAAATCCATTAAAAAATATGTTAGAACTCATGCATGAGTTCAGTAAGGTCATGAAATACAAGATCAATATAAAAAATCAATTGTATTTCTATAATATGTAATAAAAAAATAAGATTCCATTAATAAGAGCTTTAGGCTGGGCATAGTGGCTCAAACCTTGATCCCATCACTTTGTGAGTCTGAGGTAGGAGAAGTGCTTGAGCCCAGGAGTTCAAGACCAGCCAAGGCAACATGGCAAGACCTTGTCTCTACAAAAAAATAAAACAAATTAGCCAGGCATGGTAGCACATGCCTGTTGTCCCAGCTACTCAGGCGACTGAGGTGGGAGGATCACTTGAGCCTGGGAGCTGAAGTTGTGGTGAGTTTTGATCGTGCCACTGCATTCCAGGCTGGGTGACAAACTGAGACCCTGGCTCAAAACAAACAAACAAAATCTCTAAAAAGAATAAAGTACTTAGGAATAAACAGCAAAATAAATGTAAAATTTATACTCTGAAAACTGTAAAATATCATTTAAAAAATTAAAGACCCAACCGGGCTCGGTGGCTCAGCCTATAACCCCAGCACTCTGGGAGGCTGAGGCCAGTGGATTGCCTGAGTCCACGGGTTTGAGACCAGCCCGGGCAACTTGGCAAGACCTCGTCTCTATAACAAAAAATCAAAAATTAGCCGGGCATGGTAGCATGCACCTATAGTTATGGCTACTTGGAAGGCTGAGGTAAAAGGATCGCTGGAGCCCAGCAGGTCAATGCTGGGGTGGCCATGAGTATGCTACTGCACTCCAGCCTGGGTGACAGAGTGAGACTCCAACTCAAGAACAAAAACAAAACAAAACAAGACAAAAATTAAAGACTCAAATAAATAGAAATACAACCCGTGTTCACTGATAGAACACTCGATATTGTTGAGATGACAATACTACTCCCCAAAATGATCTTCAGATTCAATGCAACCTCTATAAAAATCTCAGCTGGCTCCCAATTCTAACCCAAACCTAAAATTCAGATGAAAATTGATGGGACTCAGAATGGACAAGCCAATTTTAAAAAAGAAGAACAAGATCAAAGATTTGTGCTTTCTGAATTCAAAATTTACTACAAAGCAACAGTAATCAAGACAGTATGAACTGGGAGTGCTGGCTCACGCCTGTAATCCCAAAACTTTGGGAGGTGGAGATGAGAAGACTGCCTGTGTCCAGAAGTTTGAGACCAGCCTGGGCTATTCGGCGAGATCTCATCTCTATAATAAGTAAAAAAGTTAGCCAGGCGTGGTGGTGTGCACCTGTAGGCCCAGCTACTTAGGAGGCTGAGTTAGGTGGAAGGATCGCCTGAGCCCAGCAGGTGGAGGCTGTGGTAGCCATGAGCATGCCTCTGTACTTCATCCAGGTGACAGAATGAGACTCTGACTCAGATTAAAAAAAAAAAAAAAGACAGTATGGTACCAGCACAAGGATAGACATATAGATAAATGGAATGGAATTCAGTGTCCAGAAATAAGCCTTCACATTTTTGGCCAATTGATTTTTTACAAGAGTTGCCAATACCATTCAATGACAGAATAATAGTCTTTTCAAGAAATTGTGCTGGGCCAACTGGAAATACACATAAAAAGAATGAGGTTGGACCCCCTCGTTTATATCATATACAAAAGTTAAATCAAAATGAATTAACTATGAAACTTATAGAAGAAAACACAACCATAAATTCTTGCGATCTTGGATTAGGCAATGGATATGATACCAAAAGCACAATCAACCAAAGAAAAAAATAGGTGAGTTCTTCATAATTAAAAACTTTTGTGCTTCAACAGATATCATCAGAAAAGTTAAAAGACAACTTATTATGTGAGAATTTTCAAATTATATACCTGATAACAGACCTCTCTAAAACATATAAAGAATGTTTACAACTCAATTTTAAAAAAACCTATAGCCCAATTAGAAATTGGACAAAGAATCTGAATAGATACTTATCCAAAGAAAATATACAAGTGGCCATTAAGTGAAAGAAGCCAGACACAAAAGGCCATGTATTGTATGATTCCATTTATATGAAATGTCCAGAATAGGAAAATTTACAGATGGAAAGAAGACTAGTTGTTGCCCAGGACTAGTGGTTTGAGAAGAAATGGGAAGATACACACACACACACACACACACACACACACACACACACACACGGGGTGGGGAGGTGACTGTCACATTAATAATAACAAAGCTACTTACATTGATAATAACAAACAGATATACTGCTCCAAAGTCTAGTAGACCCAAATTCAGAGAAAAGTCCCCATCTTCTGTTCTACAACGCACAGCAGGATATCTGAAACAGGATGAATTTGGGTTAGAATAGACATCATGGCTTAGAAAAGCATTTCCATATCCAGGAGGAAGTGATGATGAAAAAAGAAAGCTGTGAAGTCACCAGTTTTCTTTCTAGGAGTGGGTTATTTTCATGCCAGATTTCTGTCCCTGATTTGCGCTCTTTATTGTCTGTCATATAGATTATTTTTTAAAACATCAACATAAAGAAGGTGCAAGTCACCTTTTGTGGATTTCAGGCCCAGGTAAACTTTCACCATACAAATCTTATGATTTAGTGGAATGGCATAAAACAATGAAACTGACAGGATAAACTTGGAAGGTACCAAAATTCCTCCTTTGGTAAGGGTAGAAACCTATAATATACTTTGTAAAACTCACGGAGATGGGCTCTGTTAACTATACAGTATGGTCTTTATAGCAATCATGATCTTAATATTATCTGTGCAGAAAAACAGTAAGGGAAGGAGGCAAAAGTTGAAAATGAGGAGGAATTTGCCTATAACTCAAAATTAGCCCAGATGTACCTAAGTTCCCCACCTATATATAAAGATAGCATTCAAAAAGCAATTGTTGATTAAAGTGAAATGTCCACAGAGGAAATGCTCTTACTCTCCTCTTTGCACAGTTCTGTAAGCAGACACACCATAGTCTTCGCCAACATTGAGGGAGATATCTGTACCCAGGGAGATGTTGACATCTTTATGCAAAGTATTAACAAACCTGAGGACAGAGACATTATTTACATATCAGACAAACACACCCGAACAGGAACACCTGATAAAAGAGGGCAGGAGTCTTTTCTGTTTTGGTTATTACTAGGTACCCTGTGCCTAGAATAGTGGCTGGCACATAAAAGGTTCATGATGGGCCGGGTATGGTGGCTCATGCCTGTAGTCCCAGCACTTTGGGAGGCTGAGATGAGAGGATTGCCTAAGCCCAGAGGTCAACACCAGCCTGGGCAACTTGGTGAGACCTTGTCTCTACAATAAATTGAAAAAAATTAGCTGGACAAATGAATGAACTCAACACGTAATAAGCAATTAATAGTCTTAGCTGTCCCTTTCCTCTTCCTGAAGTATTAACTTTTACCTGTCACCTCCTCACCAGATCTCTAGCTAGTTGGACACTATCATGATCACCCATGAGTCTGAGTTTCCTTACTAATTCAGCTTGGGTCATTCCAATTTCTTTCCTTTATAATGATGGAATCCATCAATGGAAACTTTACTAAGTAAGATAACTCTGTATATATAAAGATATAACAGTTTTATATAAGACTGATATCTTCTTATAAATGAAGTCTGATTTGGCTTATATAAAACTCAGACTCCCAGCTGATTGTTATAATTGTTTTGAAGTCTTCAGAAACTTTGGGCCCTTCCAGAACCATCTTTCTTTTCTTTTCTTTTTTTTTTAAGTTTTAAAACAACGTTTATTAGAGAAAGAAGAGAGACATGCCAGAGCTGGTATGGGCTAGAGAAACCGCCCAGAACCATCTTTCTAGTGTTCCAAATATAGGCCTCTAGATTGTCTCCTCAGGATGGATTCTTCATACATTTCATTTTTAAAAGCTTTTGACTTGGTCTATGGTCCAAGGGATAAGAAAGGCAGATCCCTCCAGAGTCCTGAAAGTTGATTTCTGAATTTTGGATTATCCAGCACTGACCTAGAAAAAAATACCCCTCTAGAGGCCTGAGCTCTCTGGATCTCTGGTCTCACTGTTGTCTTATTTTGAGCTGTTTACTTTTTCTGAAGAACATTCAAAAGCAAGGAATTATGACTATTCTGCTCTTCGGTGAAATTCAGACTTTACATGAAAATTTCTTTAAAATGTGGCTCTCAACAGTAATCACCTGATCTTAGAGGCCACGGCATGGTATCTCTATTTCATGCCTAACTCCTGCCACAGAGAGCAGGTAACTTCTCTGGTGCTTCATCCCTGTAACTGTCCCCCAAGCTCTTCAGCCTTATCTGGATTTAAAACTAAGTCTTTTGACTCCTAATATGTATGATACCTCTATAGGTTTGTAATACAAACTGTACCCTAAAAAGATATTCAACTACCAATAATAAAGATAGGTTTATTTCCTCACTCATTTTTCTCTGGTGATTACAGAGAGGAACATAGTCAGTTATTTTCCTGAGAGCAAGATAAATGGGTAAAATTCAGCAGAAAGAATTTATCCAGCAGAGTCCAGGGGGTATACACAGATGCAGGGCCATCTTTGACTCCTACATGAGAAAGGATTCTCTTTCCTGTCTGCCTCTCACTTCCTGGAAAATGCCTTCTGACTCTAGTGTTGTTGAAGTTCTAGAAGAGAGAATTCCTATTCAGAACAAGTAGTGTGAAGCCCCAAAGAACAGAAGAGGTTCAAGATTCAAGACAACAGAGTGGCCTGGAATCTCCTTGACATCCAAACCTCATGGCTGTCATCCCATTGGTTGTTTTGCTTTCGACGTCCTTTACCTACAATAAAGGAAAATAAAAATCAGTAACAGCGGACAAAATGGAACTGTAGTCAGAAAATTTGATCATCAGGCAGATCCTTAGTAAGACATTGATGAGCCAGTCATCTTCTTTGAGACGACAACTTAGAACCTAGGCAGTTCCTTCACTTACCATCATGCTGGAGATACTTTTCCCATCCTCATGAATGATCAGACTGTACCAGTTCTTTTCCTCCACAGAATGCTTCGTGTAGACGGACAGATTATGATATTTCAGATGGAAGTAGAAATCCTGGCTTTTCGTTTTCAGGTGCAGTTCGGAATAGTGTAGTGTTTTCTGTAGAATGAAGAACCTGTCACACTCACCTTCTTCTTCATCTTGGATATCACCATCTTGTGGCATCTCAGGGTAGGTGACCCCATCAGATACTTTCAACCTAGTAATTCCTTTTTTTCGAGCTGGGGGCCTCATTCTTGCCCAGACTTGAGTGCAGTGGCAGGATCATGGTTCATCACAGCCTCGACTTTCTGGGTTCAGACAATTCTCTTGTCTAGCTTCCCAAGTAGCTGGGACTACAAGCGCACACCACCACACCCAGTTAATTTTTTTTTTAATCTATGTTTGTTGCCCAGGCTGGTCTTCAGCTCCTGGACTCAAGCAATCCTTCTGCCTAGGCCTTCCAAAGTGCTGGGACTGGCCAGGTGCAGTGCCTCAAACCTGTGATCCCAGCACTTTGGGAGGTCGAGATGAGAGGATTGCTTGAGTCCAGGGGTTCAAGACCAGCTTGGGCAACTTGGCAAGACCTCGTCTCTACAATAAATAAAAAACATAGCCAGGTGTGGTGACACGTGCCAGTATTTCCAGCTACTTGGAAGGCTGAGGCAGAAGGAGTGCCTGAGCTCAGCAGGTCGAGGTTGTGGTGGCGGTGAGCAAGCCATTGCACTCCAGCCTGGGCAACAGAGTGAGACTCCAACTCAAAACAAACAAACAAAACAACACCACCAACAACAAAAAACCAGTGCTGGAATTACCCGTATGAGCTACTGCACCTGGACCAGTAATTCCTCTCTTTAACCTAGCAATTTTATTTCTAGGGATTTACTGTAGAGAATAATCAAAGGCATGTGTAAAGATTTACAGGCTAAGAATGTTCATTATAGGATTAGGAATAGTGACAAAAAATTTGAATACCTATATGGAAATGTCTAAGTAAACTATGATGTATCTATAAGCCAATGTATGCCCATTAAAATCATGTTCTCAGAGACTATCTAAGGACACAGGAAGATGCTTATGATACAACCACAGAAAATCAAGGTCAATACAGCACACAGTTTCCAATGTATTCAGGTCCGTTCCTCACTTGGAAGGATTTGATGGACTCCACCAACAGGGTATTGTTTTCATTTCCCAGCACTGTCACCTTCACCTCATCATTTGCCAGATTAAAGACTTGCAGGAAAATTTCTTGAGTACCCGGCTGGGGCGGGGCCAATGCCTTAGGACAGAGAACACATATCAGAATCACCGACAAATAATCCTTCAGATATAATGAGAACACATATCTCAGTCCTGTTCCTGACAGCCAAACCTACCAAGCCAAAAGGACATGGTTTTCTTTCTCTGATGAGTATTTCACTCAGGAAACACTGAAGGCAATTTGGATGGGGAAATACCAGTTAAATGTAGCAAGCACCAGTGTCAGATAACAAATTTCATGCTTTTTGACTCAGCTGTGGCCTCATCCTTCATTCCCCAATAGTGGCTATTCTATCTGCCAAAAGGTATTTGAATATCTAGGAAAGTGTCATAAGCCTGTGTTCCCTAAAGAGATGGCTAGATATGTCAGATATTAGCATTTGGAAATTCCCTGAAAACATACTGTGAATCATTCAGGTGGGGGCTGGGCCTCCTTTTGCATTGCTGCTCTATCCATGTATCTACTCATTTATCACAAATATTTACAAAGACTTACTATGCACTCCTGTAAAACAGGTACTGTGCTAGGTCCCAGGGACTCAAGATCGAACAAGTCAGAAGAGTGAACAAGACAGACAGTTATGGCCCTGCCCTCATGGAGCTTAAGAGGTATTGAACTCACATTTATTTTTATCTCCACAACTGCTGCAACTGCAAATGCAAGGCATGCTAGGATCATACCAACAGCCATTTTCCTAAGCGATCTGCAGAGGAAAGGGAGAGACAATTATATCTAAACTTTGGACTCTAAAGGATAAAATCCAGACTCCTTAGCCTACTCTTAAAGACCTTTCCTGATTTGGTCCCGGTTACTTTTGGAGTAGTTCCTTGAACTCCCCCACACACATCTGTTCTTCTCCTTTTACTTGAGTCACACTGAACTGTTCTTCTCTGTGATACCACATTTTCCTACCTCTACCTTTGCTTGTGATGGTTTTTCTATCAATTTTGTCATAATACCAAAAATAATAGCACTACAACCAGATTTACTGAACACTGACCATATTCTAGATGCTGATCATGCTTTGCCTCCTTAATCTCTTCCAAAGTCTGTTGACACTGGCAGCAGGAAGGATGCTCTTCCTTCTCTACACTCCCCTGGCACTTCAATCTTCCCTTCCTAGGGCACTTAACATATTTCCCTGTATAATAGTTATATTACATATATAACTCATATATGCTCTAACTCCCTTACTAAATAATAAACTGCTTGAGGAAAGGAGCTGTGCTTGATTCATATGTGCACTTGGTTCTGAGCTCCCTAATACTTGCTCAGTGAATGACTAGATGACAAAAGGCCATTTGAATATGGCAAAGCGGTCATCAAAACAAAATTGCTGTTACATTAGAATTGAAAGGAGGCTTGAAACTCTCTTCTGTCAAACTTTACAAAGATAACACTTCTACTTACAATGAGGGAAAGGCAGTAATCAGGAACAATTATATCCCCAGTCTCACCAGGTCCCCCATTTGTTTCATAGGAATAGGAAATTTACGGGGTTTAGTAGTCATCAAAGGTTTCGGGCTTCTTTGAAGAGACAACATTCAAGAACAAAGCAGCATGTTGGTTTAGTAGTCTAATCTCACATATTTTTGGCCTAGATCTCCTCCTTCAACATTACAGTTAAGTCCATAGTGATGGCTTCAACTCTCATTAATTAGATCTAATTCCCATTTTTCAGTGTTAAAAGGCACGTAGTTTAACATGAAAAAATAGAAGCAGATAAATGATAAACCAAAACAAATCGTCATTAAGTAGAAAACACTGACACTGAATCTTTAACAGACTGGGCAAAGACTGAGTCAGTCTGGAGTAATAAAGGCATAGTGAATACTTACGAGAAGTTAATTCCACACTTGGAGACCAGACGATAAATGACAAGGTCAAACAATGGGATGAAGAGAAGAACCAGAAGGGGATTTAGTACCTGTAATACCATAGTAAAAAGAACTAGCTACAAGAGTTTTCCTATTATGAGTGCTCTTATTTGCTTGTGTACACTCTCTCTCTCATATCCACACATACTTTTGTCATCATAAGTACAGAATGAGTCCACATTTCTCCTTCCTTTTACACCCAAGACTCTACTTTCCTTGCATAGCATCTTAGCTTCCAAACATCCCAAGGGAACAGTTTCATTCTAAGCCTGTTTTTCTGCCATATTATGAGTTCTTCCCTCCCATTTTCATCTATCTTCTCCATTCCATAGCCCAAGGAGAAAATGTCATAACCAGGAGAAAGGAAGGAGAGGAGGAAGAATTGTTGAACAAGGGGTTAAAAAAAGAACTGGGAGACACCAGTAAAAAGAGAGCCTTAATTTTTTTGATAAATATTTTCATCATACTATCTTGACATGGAAAAAATCCCATGTGTATACTTTACCTATGGCTCAAAGGAGGAATTTCGTGCTTAAAGAGAATGTTTTCATCTCTCTAAGGTTGGCCTTCCTCAGTATACAAAAAAAAAAGCATCAAATTATGGTTATTAATCCTACTGGTACATGTAGAGGCAGAGAAGAGGAAAGAAGTAAGTCCCCAGTGGCTATAAAGAAGAATCCTACCTGCATCTGGTCTGGCTGAAGCACAAAAAATCCCTGAAACATTATAAAACAAATTATATTTATACAGTGACTGAAGACAAGCAAAACCTAGATCAACAATTTTGTTCAGTAGCCAGTGAGAAGCATATAAGAGAAAATTCATCAGGTCTTTGGTTCTTGTCTGTAAGGGCACTTGGGGATGGGAACAGACTTAGGATGACTCTGGCTATGTTTGCTGAAGGCAGATGGGCCCAAGGGAGAATATTATTTCCTTCCTTCCTTCCTTCCTTCCTTCCTTCCTTCCTTCCTTCCTTCCTTCCTTCCTTCCTTCCTTCCTTCTTGAGTTTGAGTCTCACTCTGTTGCCCAGGCTAGAGTGCAGTGGCACACAGCCTCGACCTGCTGGGCTCAGGTGATATTTCCTCCTCAGTCTTCCAAGTAGCTGGAACTACAAGTGTGTGCCACCATGTCTGGCTTATTTCTTTATTTATTTATTGTAGACATGAGGTCTTGCCAAGTGGCCCAGGCTGGTCTTGAACCCATGGGCTCAGGCAATCCTCTCACTTCGGCCTTCCAAAGTGCTATAATTATAGGTATGAGCCACTGCATCTGGCTGAGAATATTCTTTTCTATGAACTATGCTTTCTTTAACTTGAAAGAGAATAGAGTCAGTGTGTTTTTATTCATCTCAGCAACTGCAGTTGTAGGTGGTGATAATGTGAAGGACGAGACATCATGGTTAGAGTGAAGACTCCCCCGACACATAGTGCTTCCAAAGTTATTCTCTAGAGGGTCGACAAAGACCACCATGGTAAATCCTGGACAACCAGCTGAAGGGAAAAGATAAAGTTATATCTGGCAGACTCCAAATAGATGGCTATTATCATTCCATCCTGACTTCTTCAGAACTTAGAAAATAATATAATCTAGGAAGTAAACAATTGAGAGCAAAGATGGAACCTTATTTGAGTGGGCCAAAGAATGGAAATTAGAAAAAGAGAAAATGGTATTTACAATCTTCTCATTTTTTCCATATCCATGTACAAAATATTCCATGTTCCACAGGTCCCCTGCTGTGATCTCTGCCTGAGAGATGGATCAATTGTGTAGTAGCACCAATCAAACCTATTCCATGTGCCCTGGGGATGGGCTGAGGTAGAAGAAAATCACTATCCCAGATATATATCACTTCATTTGCTATCTTTTTTTTTTTTTTTTTGAGTGGGAGTCTCACTCTGTCGCCCAGACTGGAGTGCAGTGGCTGCTCCCGGCCACCACAGCCTCGACCTACTGGGCTCCGGCGATCCTTCTGCCTCAGCCTTCCCAGTAGCTGGAATTACAGGCATGCGCTTACCACGCCCGGTTGATTTTTTTATTTATTGTAGAGATGAGGTCTCACCGCCCAGGCGGGTCTCGAACCCACGGGCTCAGGCAATCCACTCACCTTAGCCTCCCAAAGGCACGGGATTACAGACTGAGCCACTGAGCCCAGCTGCTATCTTCTCAATATTCCCTCATATACATTTAAATCTTTCCCATCTTTATGTTCCTGATTTCTAGAGACAAAATTCTAGTTTTTATTTCTAGACTAGCTTTCTTTATCTTTGCTTACACAGTGCCTTCAGGCTAAAGGCACCTTTCTAATGATCTTAAGTCCATTTTTAGGCAAAAACACAAAGGAATTAACTTTCCCTCAGTATGGATGATGAAGAAAATAATAGACGTCTCTGAAAAATATCTTCTACTCACCAAATTCCCATTCATCCTGGTGGCTTGCAAAGTCCATCGTGATCCCTAAGGCAAGTAGATACAATTATAAGAAATCCCTTTCCTGTGAGAGGGAAGTATCTGTAAGAGGGTATAGCTCCAAAAGAAATATTCTCACCTGCTGATCCAAAAGAGCCCAGAACATGGGCAATGGGATATAAAGGAACAGAACCCTGGTCAGTGACTTCACATCCATAATGAGTTGCTTCTGCAAAAAGAAGGAAGAACAAGCAGAATTGTCAGAAGTTCTATATGTGGCTTTCTTGTGTAAAGTAGAAGTATCCCCAAAACAGTAAGAGGTCAAATGCACTAGGAGAGAAACAGTTTGAACATTAGATAAGACTCTCTGACCCATAAGATGTTTCCGCAGTTCTAACTTACCGGGTATTTCTCAGCTGCCCAGTCTAGCCAGTGCTGTCGCTTTGGAATGTCTCCAGAACGATTCTTGAAACGATTGGAAATAGCAAACTAGGGCAGAGCATAGACATCAGGAGAGAGACAAATAAACACTATCCCCTGCCTTTCCAACTTATATTTCCTTCCTTCAAACATGTATACTTTTAGTGACTTACTCCAACCCTATGGCCTCATCAGGCACTGTATTATATCAAAATATTTCAGGTATAATTTGCTCTATCCTTACTTCCTGCTGGTACCATATATAATTATACTTCAGATGATTTTTTTAACTTAATGGTTTAGTGGTAGCAAAGAGAAAACCAATTAATCTTAGCTTGTCAAAAGACATGGAAATAGAACAGAAGTCATTGAGTAAAATGTATACCCATATTTGAAGGCCCATATTCTCAGCATTGCATCTCTTTCTTCTCATTGAAAAAAGAACACGTAGACTTACCCCGATACATCTGAAAACTTGAGCCAATATGTTTCCTTCAGGAGGTGGTTTTTTGTACATTTTGCTTCCCATTGCAAATACAACTGCAGTAGACACACAAGCAAGGTTCTTAATTTCTCATTTAGTACATTTGGCATTATCAGTGCTAAGGGTAGACTGCTGAACTGTGGGATTGACTGGTAAATCTCATAAAGAGAGAACTGACTTATATTTCCTGGTTTGGGAGTTATAAAAATTACAGGAGCCAAGAAAAAATAAAATGGTCAATTGTTAAGAGAGATATCTTATGAGATCTTCATGTAATCACAGAAATGGAAGTCATCTTTAACTTCTCATTTTTCTTTCTCCATCTTCATATGTGAAATGCTACCAACTTTCATTGATTCATTGATGCATATAATCTATCTGCCCCCTCTTTTACATTACTATTGCTACTACTTTTGTCCAGGACTTCACAGCTTCTATCTTGGATTATCAAAATGACCACAATTAGTTCCTCATTCCCTAGTCTCTTTCTTTACTAACCTGATGCCAAATGTTTCTTTCCAGGGTCTACTAAATAAACCCAAACTCCTGGCTTAAAAGTCCTTCTCAAATTTATTATTATCCTGATGTTACCATTATTCCTATCATTTACCAAAATTTATTATATGTAAGTTGTTAAACATTTTACATACATTAACTGATGTAACCTGAAAATAAGTACTACTGTTGTAATTTTATACATGAAGATATTGAAGATTAAAGAAATTAAACAACTTGTACAAGGTTGCATAACTAGAAATTGCCAGAAGCTGCATTTTTTGACCCGAGGTCTATCTGACTAAAAAATCTATGCTTTTGCCGGGTGCAGTGTCTCACACCTATAATCCCAGCACTTTGGGAGGCCTAGGTGAGAGGATTGCCTGAGCCCACAGATTCGAGACCAGCCTGGGCAACTTGGTGAGACCTCATTTCTACAATAAATAAAAAGATTAGCCAGGCATGGTGGCATCTGCCTATAGTTCCAGCTACTTGGAAGGCTGAGGAGGAAGGATCGCCTGAACCCAGCAGGTTGAGGCTGCATGCCACTGCACTCCAGCCTGGGCAACAGAGTGAGACTCCAACTCAAAACAAACAAACAAACAAACAAACAAAAACGATACTTTTAATTACTATAAAGCATCTCATTCATTAACTCTTGCATCATGCACCGTACTAGACACCATTGGGAATACAGGTGAAAAAGACAAGTTCCCTATACTTAGAGGAGCTTACTTCAACCTACCATTTCCCATTTTATGTTTCATTACTCTTCTTCAGGTACCCTATGCTCTAACCACTGTTCATCATTCCTACAAAAATATCTGTTCTATACTATTTCTTTTCTTGAGCTTATTCTGTTAACCCATGTCTTTGTCCTTTAACCACATCTCCCACAGCTAATTTTTTTTTTTTTTGAGTCAGAGTCTCACTCTGTTGCCTAGGCTGGAGTGCAGTAGCCTGCTCACGGCCACCACAGCCTCCACCACGGCTGGCTAATTTTTTTTATTTATGGTTGCAACAAGGTCTCACCAGGTTGGTCTCAAACCCATGGGCTCAGGCAATCCTCTCACCTCTGCCTCCCAAGGTGCTGGGAATGCAACTGTGAGCCACCACGCCCAGCTTCCACATCTAATTTTAAGTGAATTTTATTTTATTATTTTTCTTTTCTCTGCCAAACTGACAAAGAACTGGTATGACTTTTATAATTATAAAAGAGTATGTTTCTCAATTTTATTAAGCTAAAAACCAATGGAAAGACTCCATCTTGGTCCTCTCCCAGATGTATTTTCCTCTTTGAAAGACTTCCCAGCGATAGCAAGATGCCCCTCTAGTAGATCTTCTGCTAAAGATACTTTTCTTAGGCTGGGCAAGGTGGTTCATGCCTATAATATCAGCACTTTGGGAGGCCAAGGTGAGAGGATTGCCTGAGCCCATGGGTTGAGACCAGCTTGGGCAACTTGGAGTGACCTCATCTCTACAATAAATAAATAAATAAATTAATTAATTAAATGGGCATGGTAGCACATGCCTGTAGTTCCGGCTACTTGGAAGGCTGAAGCGGAAGGATTGCCCGAGCCCAACAGGTTGAGGCTGCTGTGGCTGCAAGCGTGCCACTGCACTCTAGCCTGGGCATCAGAGTGAGACTCTGACTCTAAATAAATAAATAAGCCTTTCTCAGTGACAGCTACATTTCCAATATCCTCACACACCTTACTTTTCCTTAATTTTCTAATATATCCATTCTTAATCAGAATTACTCTAGCACTTGTTCTTGATTCATCCTCTCAATTTTCCCAAAGCTTCTCCAAATAGCACTCTTTACCTACAAAATCCTTCTCATCATTTATAGAAATAGTTCAGGGGAAGAATGCTAATCTTGTGGGTCAAGTGGGCAGATAAAGAAGTACCTAGACAAAAGGAAGATTTGGGGTAGGAAATAAACTGCTCCTGAAACTCAGAATGATCCTAGAAAGAGGAGAGACATTTCAGGAATGCTGGTTGCAATAGTAACAGTGGAGTGATAAAAATAAAACTTGTGGAATTAACCAAGATCACACTTAAATGTCAAGACCACTTAACCAAAGAAGATGGATAGAAATCTTAAATTTCTCTACTCTCTACTCCTTCTAGCAGATGATGATCCTTCTTGTTTCACAAATAAAATGGAAGCCTTCAATGGAAGTTCCCTCAACTTCCTGCCACCAAATCTATTAATTTCTGTATCCACACTCATCCTCTTCTTCTTCCGGGTAGGTGAAGGTGATGCTCCTCTTCCTGTCCAAAGCTAATGCTTTCATGTGTGTTTTCACATTGATTGTACTGTCTTTATCTTGCATCTTCAAATTTTTTCTCTACTAGATAGTTCCTAATATTATTCAAGCATGTTCGACGTTCTCTCAAATCTATGCCAACTTCTAGTTATAATATTCCACTTTCTTAAAATTCCACTTTCTTACCTCTTATTTACATCCCAATCCACTCCAGTTAGTCTTCAACCTCTACCATTCTTCCATAATTGATATCATCATATCAATTACCTCTTATTGCTGTATTTAAAGACATCTTTTCCCCTGCATCTCAAGTTCCCATTCAGTAACATTTGTCTCTTTGAACAAGACCCTTCTTGAAATCCTCTTGATAGCTAAGAAAAGTATTATTACCACTTTGTCCATTCCTTCTTGTGAGACTGTCTTTTAAATTCTGGTGCTCCTTGGGGTTTGGTCCTGAGCTCTATTTTTTTTACCTTACTCTTGTTAACTCTTAGTTATCTATCTTCATGGCTTGCTGCTACCTTTATCCTAAAGACTCCAGATCTATATCTGCAACCTAAATACTTCTTCTGAGCTCTACATTTATATTCCAAATAACTGTTTGGTAACTCCAATGAGATATTCCAAGAACATCTAAAATGCAACATGTTCAAAACTAAATTCATCAACATTGCCCCAAACCTGCTATTTCTCGCAATCTCACTTAATGACTCTACTATCTACTCAATTGCTCAAGTCAGAACTCTACATTAAACCTTGACTTTTCTTCTCCCCCACTTCACATATCTAATCATACCAAGGTTTGTTAATTTTATCAGGGCTGGGACTAGGGAGAGCTGAATGAGGCACTCATCTGGAGCACAAGTTTAAGGGAGTGTCAAAAAATTCAGTCTTCAAGATAAATATTATCCTTGCCTCACTGTCAATTCTTTCTCCACACTATAGAAACATCATTAAAAAATAAAAACCTAACAATCATTCCTCTATCAAAATCTTTTTGGAGCTCCCCACTGTCCCTCACAATAAAGTTCTAATCCCTTAATGGTTTTAAAGACTCTTCATTATCTAGTTTTTCCTCTTTATTTTCACTTATTATCTAGGTGATCTGGATTCCTTTAAGGCCTTTAAACACGTCATTTTATTTCTTACCACCTTATCTTACGGATACCATATCTTCTTTCTGTATCACTTACAATCTCTTCTTTGATTAATTGCTGTTCAGCTCTTAGGCCTCACTTTGGCTGTCATTTTCTTTTATTAATTTATTATTTACTTATGTATTTATTTTTTGACAGAGATGAGGTCTTGCTATGTTACCCAGGCTGGTTTTGAACGCCTAGACTTAAGCAATCCTCTCACCTCAGATGCCTAAAATGCTGGGATTACAGGTATGAACCACTGTGCCTGTTTTTTTTATGATGTCATTTCTTTAGACAAATATTTTACGACCTTCAAAATCAAACATCCCTTCTATGTGCACTCCACTGTACTTTCCCAGTTGTGATATCAGTAATACTATTTTATAAATGTGTTTACTTGTTTATCTTCCCCTCCCTGCTGAACTATATAAGTTCTTTGAGAGCATGAACTCTGTAGCTGTCTAATTTACCAGTGTGATACCCAATACCTAGCACGTAATCTGGCACTTAATAGGTCCATTAAATGTTTGAATAAATGATGAGTGAATAAAAAATAAATGAATAAATTAAATTATAGTAAAATGTTAGAGAATTGAGTTATTTATTAGCAGCCAGAAAAGTGAAACTACAGACTAACAATGACAGCTAGCACTTGTTAAACATCTCATAATTTATAAAACATTTCACTTATAGGATCTCTTTTGATCTTCATAATTACTCTAATATATAAATATCATCATGCTAGGATCCAGAGAAGAAGACATAGTACTAATAAGTGGAAAACCAGAAAAATATGTGGACAATATTTGACTTTGAATACAGAAAGAAGCAGGGAATATATTATGACAGCTCACCTGGAATAAATGTCCTTGGCATTTGAGAACTCTGAGTATTAGTATCAGCCTCCTCAACCACCCTTCCCCAGTAGAAAATAATCAGACTGAACATTGAGTCTCTGGGCGCTTTTCTCCTCTATTGAGTTCTTTATGTGTTTGGACTGGATATCTTCCAGGGGGGCGTCACCCTGAGACTCAGAGTGAGAACAGGTTTTCAGGTCAATGATTAGAAACAATCATGCCCAAATTTTCCCTTAGGCTGTCTAAACTAAGAAATACCACATTCCTCTTCTCTTCTAGGACTAGGTTTTCAGTGGTAAAGAGAATGCCAGAAGATCTAAGTTAACATTAGTTTCCAACTACTTATTCAACTCCTCTTGTTCTCTCTGCTCAAGGGTAAACTCTTTGGGATCATTGCAGAGGGAGGCAGAAATAGTTAAACCTAGAAGCTTGCTTTAAAAGGCCTAAAGAATTAAAAATGTCTTCCACCAACTGTGGCTCAAGTCTGTAATCCCAGCACTTTGGGAGGCCAAGGTGATAGGGCTGCCTGAGTCCAGGGGTTCGACCAACCTGGGCAACTTGGTGAGATCTCTTCTCTACAATACATTAAAAAAATTAGCTGGGTGTGATAGTGCACACCTGTAGTTCCAGCTACTTGAAAAGCTGAGGTGAAAGGATTGCCTGGGCCCAGCAGGTAGAGGCTGTGGTGGCCGTGAGCATGCCACTGTTACAGCCTAAGTGACAGAGTGAGACTCCAACTCAAAAATAAATTTTAAAAATAAATATGTCTTCCAATTACCAAATAAGTATTAGATGAAATAAACTAGTTTGAGAGGATTATCTTCTTTGCTTCCTTACTACTGTAGAACAGTGGGTCTCAATCTTGACTACATTAGTATCATTTGAGATACTCAAAAAATTATAGATACCCAGGCCCCTTGATTGGCCCAGAGTTTGATCTTTTTTGAGAGTCCCCAGGAACATCTTAGTAGTTGTCAGCCCTTGGGAACTCTTTTCCCCCCTTCAAGTTGCTGGCTTCATTCAGAATCTGTCTCCAAAGTCAAAGGGAAACCCCTAGAATACTCAATAGAGTTAGTGTGAGGATTGAATGAAATAGTTTGTGTTAAGTGCCCACGAAATGCTTTACGTGTGGCAGGCCTCAGTGATTGTTTCCTTTGCTCTTTTGCACTTACCAAGTGCTGTCATCATGAGCAATCCTGGAACTCCAAAAGCCAGCGCATAGCAGTCTTCTCCAAAACACTGCACATCTCCTAAAGTAAATGGGGGAGGGGAGGAAATGTAACCCTCAATCTTTGATGTTTTATTCTACAATCTCAAATTCTTAAAGTCATAGACATAGCCATCCTCTTTCCTTCCATCACTGAATCCATAATCCTTCTTTTGGGTCAGACAAATTCAGACTAACAGAAATTCTCACAGATTTTCAAGATTTTATAAAGGAGAATATGGACAGTAGGAATTATTGGACAACTTTTTTGACTGGCCATAGTAAAACATTATACAGGGTCCCTCAGAAACAATCCTAACCTCTCAGCATGGGTGTGATAAATGTAGAAATCAAGCTCCCTGCATTGATGGAGAGATAGAATACTGAGAAGTATCTGGTTCGCTCTTCTGCCTGAAACAAACAGAATAAATCATCAGTGCAATGTGCCTCTTAGCTCCATTCCTACCCCATGTTCAGATTCAGACCTGGAGGTACAAAGAGATTCAGATACTGCCTCTAGGGTATCTGGCATCATATTAGATATTTTAAAACATGGCTGACTGACTCCAGATGAACATTTACTAATCTTTCAAGCACAAGTACAAGCAGCTTTCAAATTATTTTACCCCCTTTACCTAGGCAGAATTGATTATCCTGCTCTCAGTGCCACTACTGTGCCCTGTACATATCTATTTTAATATTAATGTCTTTGCATTAAATGTATATTTCTTTCAGTAGGTTGTGACTTCCTTTAGGGAAGAAATTTTATCGTACTCATTTTTGCAATCCCTATAGCTCCTGAAATCTATTAGGGGTTCAAAAATGTCTAGCGACTGTACAAGTATTAACTAAGTGAATAACTGATTTAGTTAGATAATGGATTTTTTGGTAGGAGTGTGTAGAAGGAATAGGGCCAAAATATAGGACAATGGAGTAAAATGTTGATCAAGCAGGATAGTTCACCTAGTGCCTAAAGGAAATTTGCCAGAGAGTATAAAAGAAAATTAGTGGGCTTAGAAGTGGCTGGTGGAAACTTGGAGGTAGGTTTGTTCTATTAATTGAAGTATCTTTGGGAAGCATTTACCAAATGAAACAACTTTCAAATAAAGTGACAGATGCATCAGTTCATTATGTGTTGTGTGTACTTCATTCTGACACTCTGGATCTTTTCCTGACACATTAGAACAATCAGTCCTTCCCTATTTTCTATTTATAGTGTTTCTTCTTTCCTCTTTTGGTTTTCATTTAAACCTTATTCCTTATTCCATTCATCTAATTTGTATAGTTCATTGTGCATAGAATCCCACTTGTCAAAGTTAGTCATTTCTCCAAAGTCAGCAATCAGTTTTGATCTATGGACCATCGTACAGACAGAAAGAATAAAATAGTTCGAATGGTCTTAAAGGTAAGAAAAACACAGGATGACAGAAAGGACAGAGAGAGAACAGAGTCAGAAAGAAATAGCAGGCACTATGTCAGAGAGAGGGTAGAGGAGAGTAGGGGAGAAAGAGAGACAGAGGGGAAGAAGAAAGACAGAGAAGACAGAGAGATGGGGGTGAGGAAGACAGAGAGAGAGAGAGAGAAGGGGGTGGGGAGAGACAGACAGAGAGAGAGAGAGAGAGAGAGAGAGAGAGAAACCAGAAAATGATTAACAACTATAGAAAAGGGAATCGATACATGAAGAAAGACAAAAAACAAAACTGAGCAAAAGAGAGGAAACCAGAAATGTTGACTGATCTAAGAATAGACTATTCCTTTGCCTATTTGTCACAGTTTCCTCATATAGGCCCCTTTTTATCTTATTATTATTGCTTTATTTTTTCCCCATTGACAATAGGAAGAGAAGAAATGACGAGCCAGGCACGTTCATGTATAGAAATTCATTCTTTTCACTCCAACTGGTCCCCTTTCACAGCATTTCAAAACTACAGATGCTTAAATCATCTCTACATTGCTCATCACCTCCCATTCCCAAAGTACTTACCACATTTCTTCTTAAATACCTCAAGTTAGAGTAAATTCACTACTTCCTGCTCTGAAGTTTTTCCTTCCTTCAAGCAAAAGGCTTCCTGTAGCTTTCACTCATTGATCTCAGGCTTACTCACTGACATCTTCCAATATCTGTAAGCAGCTATAATATTCTCTTTGATTCTTATCTTATCTAGAATAAATATTCCCATATCCTTCAACTTTTCCTTATAAGACATGTCTTTTCATTCATCCAGCACCCTGGTCTCATGCCTTTGAATGTGTTTCAGTTTTTCTTCTTTTTAATGACCAGTAAAAGCACTGAATATAACACCTCAGATGAAAGCTGGCCTGTGGATTATTTCCATCTTGGCTGATGGCTACCTGTCAGGTACCCCTTATAATGCTGGCTCTACATTCTTGGAAATACAAAAATAACAGGACTCTTACATGTTTTTCTTCAAACTGGTCTCCACCAAAAGCTGCCACGCAGGGTTTGATACCTCCTGTCCCCAAAGCTATTAGACTCAGACCGATCAATGACAGGACTCTGAAATAGAAGGGCAAGGATGCTAACCATGTTGATAACTAAATACAACTATAGAGATGAACTACAGAGCGCAGAAGGGAAAAATATGTACATAAGGGCAAAGATCCCATTCACATTCTACACTGTGGGCAATTTCCATTTGCTTTTAATCCCAGTAGTTACTCATGGACACTTACCATGTTTATGACTTGAGCCTCTGCTGGAAAGCATGCATCGCATGGGAAGATTTTATTACTGGAAATTCCATTTATCTTTTGTGTGCATCAGATAGAAGCAGACACTGAAGTAACTACAAAGCTAATACACTGGTTCTCGATTTTTTTTTTTTTTTTGAGGTGGAGTCTCACTCTGTCACCCAGGCTGAAGGGCAGTGGCACACTCTCGGCCATCACAGTCTCGACCTGCTGGACTCAGGCAATCCTTCCGCCTCAGCCTTCCAAGTAGCTGGAACTACAGGTACGAGCCACCATGCCCAATTTTATTTATTTATTGATTGATTGTAGAGATGAGGTCTTGCCAAGGTGCCCAGGCTGGTCTCGTACTCGTGGGCTCAGGCAATCCTCTCACCTTGGCCTCCCAAAGTGCTGGGACTATAGGCATGAGCCACCGTGCCTGGCCCTCGATATTGTTTTTTTTTTTCATTAATCAGTATTTTTTATTATGGTTTTGTGGGGTACAGTTAAGGGTTAGGTGTACAATGACGTTTCATTCAGGCACCCTGTAGATAAGAAGTGTTTTCCCATCCCCCGACAGATATTTGCTACTGTTAATCCCATCCCCCTCCCCCCCATAGTTTCGCAGTACCATCCGTCATTTTCTCATAGTATTGCATTGGATGTTCAAGGTCCATTATATGAGTGAGAACATGTGATATTCGGATTTTTGTTTTTGTGAGAGGTCACTCAGTATTATAGACTCTAGTTCCATCCAGGTTGCAGCGAAATTCATGATTTTGTTCTTTTTTATGGCTGCGTAGTATTCCATCGTGTATATGTACCACATTTTTTTAATCCAGTCCTCTTTTGCTGGGCAGCATGGTTGTTTCCAGGTTCTTGCTATTGTGAACAATGCTGCGATAAACATACGTGTGCAGGTATCTTTTTTATAGAGTGATTTGTGTTCTTCAGGGTATATTCCCAGTAGGGGGATTGCAGGGTCATATGGAAGGTCAATTTTTAGAGCTTTTAGGAATCGCCAAACTGCTTTCCGCAGAGGTTGCACTAGTTTACACTCCCACCAACAGTGTAGAAGTGTTCCCTTTTCACCACACCCTCTCCAGCAGCTGTTATTTTTTGAGTTGTTGATAATTGCCATTCTGACTGGAGTTAGGTGGTATCTCAGTGTGGTTTTGATTTGCATCTCCCTGATGATTAGTGAGGTTGAGCATTTCTTCATGTGTTTGTTGGCTGCTCGAATGTCTTCTTTTGTGAAGTGTCTGTTCATGTCTTTTGCCCATTTTATAATGGGGTTGTTTGTTTTCTTCTTTTCAGTACGCTCAGTTCCTTGTAGATCCAGGATGTTAAGCCTTTGTCAGACCTAGAATTGGCAAATACTTTTTCCCAGTCTGTAGGCT